TAGATTGTTATTTTTATTTGTCAGTTATCTTTTTGGCTATATTTCTTTGCATTTCACTGTGGTTTCTCTAAGAATTATTGTAAACATACTTTAACTTTTTATTCTACTTAGAATTAATATTGTATCACTTTCCATGAAGTATAAGAACCTTACTTATTTTATTTTATTTTTTTTGAGACGGAGTCTCACTCTGTGGCCCAGGCTGGAGTGCAGTGGCATGATCTTGGCTCACTGCAACCTCTACCTCCCAGGTTCAAGCAATTCTCTTGCCTCAGCCTCCTGTGAAGCTGAGACTATAGGTGTGCACCACCATGCCCAGCTAAGTTTTGTATTTTTAGTAGAGACGGGATTTCACCATATTGGCCAGGCTGATCTCAAACTCCAGACCTCGTGATCCACCTGCCTCAGCCTCCCAAAATGCTGATATTACAGGCATGATATTACCTGGTATTATCTGGCCAAGAAGCTTACACTCTTATTCTTTATGTGATAGTTGTCAATTTTATTAATATTTAATTAACTACATCTATAGTTGATTATATAGTTAACAATTGTAATTTATATTAATCAATTTAAAATAATAAGTATCCATTTAATAAATTTTATTTATTGTTGTCAATTTAATTTGTCTAGAGGCAAAGAAGGACATTTCATGATGATAACATGGTCAATTTATCAGTTATAAACATGTATGTACTTAAGAGCAGAGCCCCAAAAGTACATAAAGCAAAAGCTGATAGAATTTAAAGGAGAAATAGATAATTTAACTTTAATGGTTAGAGACTTCACTATTCCACTTTCAATATGGGTAGAACTATTAGCAAAAGGTCAACAAGAAATAAAAGATTTGAACAACATTATAAACCAAGTAAACCTTAGAGGCGTCTACAGAACACTTCACTCATCAACAACAGAACACATGTCCTTCTCAAGAGCACATGAGTCATTCTCTAGGATGAATTATATATGTTTGGTCATAAAACATGTCTTAACAAATTGAAAAGGGTTAAAATTAGTTAAGTATATTTGTTAACCATAGTGGAACAAAATTAGAAATCAATAACCAAAAGAAATTTGAGAAATCCAAAAATAAATGGAAATTAAACCACACACTTTTAAATAACCAATAGATCAAATTACAAATAAAAACGGACTGCAAAAATATACTGAGATAAATGAAAATGAAAATAATATATCCAAACTTACAGGATGCAGCAAAAGCAGTACTTGAAGGGAAATTTGTAGGTACAAATATATACATTTAAAAACATAAGAAAGATCTCAATACAAGAACTAAACTTTTATCTTAAAAACTAGAAATAGAGCAAAATACTCAATGGAAAAACTCAGTGAAAGCAGAAGGAAGGAAATAATACATTAGAATAGAAGAAGATGAAATAGATTATAGAAAAATAATAATGAAAGTCAACAAAACCGAAAGTTGGCTATTTGAAAAAATCAACAAAATTGATAAACATTTAGATAAATTGACAAAAAGAGATAACTCACAAATTACTAAACTAAAAAATGAAAGAGAAGACATCACTAATGATCTTACTAATGTTACAGAAATAGAAAGGATTGCTAGTAACACTATGGACACTTGCATGTCAATAAATAAGACAACCTGCTTTAAAACAGATAAATTTGTACAAGGAAGAAACTATCAAAGCTGACTCAAGAAAAAATAGAATGTGTGAGTAGACTTATAACAAGTAAAGACACTGACTTAGAAATCAAAAATATTTCATACAAAAAAAGAGTCAGACTGGATGTCTTCATTGGTGAATTCTACTATTTTAAGAAAAGTTAACACCAATCTTTCATGAAGTCTTTCTAAAAACAAAAGAGGAAATGCTTCCCAACTCACTCTATAAGGCAGTGTTACATAAATGAGCCAAAGATGGCCCCCATATGCTGGCCCTTGGTTGTTTCCTCCCTCATAGCAGGCTGAGACCTGTTAGTACAAAACCCACCAGAATCAAACTCAAATTTTTTATGCATTCAATTGAGTTAAATACAGCCAGGTAAGCAGATTTTTGTCACATAGAGCCTGCATGTTTTGCATACCCTGTGAAACTACACTCAACATCTGCTAGCCACAGGCAAAAATAAATCTTGTAGCTATAAAAGATGCAAAGTCACCAGTGCCTCCATGGCTCTCTAGCCCAGAGACTCCCTGCCATGCTGCTGAGCAACATTACCTATCCATTCAAGTCCTCTCTCTGATTATCTTCTCCTTTAGAAGTTTCCTAGACCTCCTCCTGTTCTGAGTAGTGGTCCTCACACTGTAGCCTGTGAAATGCATGCAGTGAGGCACTTCCCTTGCATACAAGCCTATCAAAGCATCACATATGTAAACCTCATGTGTGCTACTGAGACCTGTGGTCATATATTTCTCATTGTTTAACCCTGAAATTCCACAAACTCACTATAGGTCTGTATTACCCTGATACCAAAGCCACACAAAGTCATCACAAAAAAATAAGAAAACTACAGACCAACATCTCTAATAAAAATAGACATCAAAAGTCTCAACAAAATGCTAGCAAACTAAATCTAGGAACCTAAAAATGATAATACACTATAAGCAAGTGGAAGTTATCAGGATTGCAAGGTTGGTTTAACATATGAACATCAATAAAGGTAATTCATGGAATAAATTAAATAAAAGATAAAAATCACCCGATCATCTCAATGGATAGAGAAAAGGCATTTGACACAGCACAACACCCTTTCATGCTAAAAAATACTCAATGAACTTTAAAGAAAAAATTCCTCAACTTGATGAAGGGTATTGGGGAAAATATCCACAACATCATATTTCATAGTAAATAATGAAGAGCTTCCTCCCTAAGATCAGAAGTAAGACAAGTATGTCCACTCCTGCCACTTCTATTCAAGATTTTACTGGAGGTTCTAGGCAGTACCTTTAGGAAAGAAAATTAAATAAAAGGCATCCATAATGGAAAAGAAGTAGTAAAACTCTCTATTAGGAGATTACATGATCTTGTATTCTGAAAATGCTAAGGAATACATACACACACACACACACACACAACACATAAAACTAAGTTCTGTAAAGTTGCAGAATACAAGATTTATATTAAAAAATATTATATTTCTATATATTTACAACGAACAATCCAAAAATAAAATAGATAACAGTAGCACTTACAATTGTATAAAAACAGTTAGGAATGAGTTTATCAAAACACACGCAAAACTTATACACTGAAACCTACAACATATTGTTGAGAGAAATTAAATAAAATCTAAATAAATGAAAAGTCATTTTGTGTTCATAATTTGGAAGGCTTAATATTGCTAAAATGGTAATACTCCTCAAAATGATCTACAGAGCCAACACAATCCCTACCAAAATCCTAGCTGCCTTTTTGGAGAAATTGAAAAGGTGGCTCTAAAATGTCTGTGAAAATTAAAAGACCCAAAATCACCAAAAAAGTCTGGAAAAAAGAAGAACAAAATTGGAGAATTGACACTTTTCAAATTCAAAACTTACTACAATGCTACAGTAATCACGATTGTGCTGTGTTGCAGAAAAAAAAAGATGTATGGATTAATGGAATAGAATTGATAGGCCAGAAATAGATTCATACATTTATGGTCCGCTGATTTTCAGCAAAGGTGCCTCAACAATTCAATAAGAGAAGTCTTTTCAACAAATGGTACTATTACAACTGAATATCACATGGAGAAGAATAAAGTTCGGTTCTTACTTCAAATTACATACAAAAATTAAGTCAAAATGGATCAAGGACCTAAATGTTAAGAAGTAAAACTATGAAACTCTTAGAATAAAATTTCGATGTAAATATTTGTGACAATTAGATTTGCCAATATTTCCTTCAATGTGATACAAAAATGCAAACAACAAAAGAAAAAAATATGTAAATTGAGCTTAATTAAAATTTAAAAGGTCTGTGCTTCAAATGATAGTGAGAAATTGAAAGCCCACAGAATGAAAGACAAAATTGAATATCATATGTCTGATAAGAGTCCAGTATTCAGACTACTTAAAGATCACTTACAACCCAACAATAAAAGGCAAATAACTCAATTAAAAACTAACTAAAGAATATGAATAGGTATTTCTCCAAGAAGATATATAAATGTTCAATAAACACATGAAAAGACACTGAATCTCATTAACCATCAGGAAAAAGTAAATCAAAGCCACATTGACATACTACGTCATATTCTAGGATAGTTATAATGAAGATGGTAGATAATAATAAGTGCTGACAAGGATGTATACAAATTAGAACACTTATACATTGCTGGTGAGAATGTAAAATAGTGCAATCACTTTCACAAACACTTCTGCATTTCCTTAACAAGTTAAATATAGAGTCTTCATATGACCCAACAATTCTACTCCTAGGCATACATTCAAGAGAACTGATAACATACATCCACACAAAAATGTTTCCAGGAATGTACCAAGCAGTATATTCATAATAGTCAAAATATAGAAACAATCTAAATGTCCATCAACTGATGAATAAACAAAAGGGTATCCATACAATTAAAATATCATTAAATAATAAAAATGATGTACTGATACATGCTACAAAATAAATGATCATTAAACACATTATGCTAAATATCTGAAGTGAAGAATTTCTAGACTACCTTGATTTGATCATTACAGGTGGTATGCATGTATCCAAAAACACATCTACCTCATAAATATGTACAACTATTATGTATCAATTAAAAAGGGACACAAAAGGCACATACTGTACAGTTCCATTTATATAAAATGTCCAGAATAGGTAGGTCCCCAGAGATAAAACCTAGACTAGTGGTTGCTTGGGGCTGTGGTGAGAGAATAATGGGGAATGGTGAAATACCCTAAAATTGATTGTGTTCACAGTTGTACAACCTCATGAATATACTAAAAAATACTGAAATGTATATTTCAAAATGGTAAATTTTATGGTGTGTGAATTATGTCTCAGTAGGTATTTATTTACTTGGAGACAGGTTCTGGCTCTGTTCCTCAAGCTGGAGTGCAATGGCACAATCTCGGCTCACGGCAAATTCCACCTCCCAGGCTCAAACCATCTTCCCACCTCAGCCTCCCAAGTACCTGGGTATGTCTCAGTTTCTTAAAGGAGGCATAAAAATTGTATGTATTTTAAAGAAATTAAGAACAAAGAAAGCATGTTATGCTAATACATGAATTTGTCATTCCTGGTCATTTTCCATCTTTCTTAACATCTAATTTTTTATCTGGTATTTCAGTATAGCCTGAACAACTTCTTTCAGCATTTCCGGTCATACAGATGTACTGGCAACAAATTCTTTAGTTTTCATTTATTTTAAAATGTTATTATTACACCTTTATTCTTGAAGAATATTTTCACTGATTAACAGACTTTTTTTCCTTGCAGTAAAGAGTTTCACTCAATTCTGGATTTAGTTTTTTGTTTTAATGAGAAATCAGTTATAATTCATATTGTCATTGACATCCATATAATATGTCATGGCATCTATATAATTATTTAGTAAATAATTCTTCTCTGGCTGCTTTCAAGATTTCCTTTTTCTCTTTGGTCTTCAGCAATTTGACAATTATGTACAGTAAGTTCTCACTTAATGTTGTCAATATATTCTTAGAAATTGTGACTTTAATGAAACAATGTATAAGAAAACCATTTTTTTTCTCATCAGCAAAACAAAGTTGAACAAAATAATCTTCTTCAAGGACTCGCTGTAGGCCTTTTACTTAAAGTCTCAGTTTTCAATAACTTGTTAAAGATATTCAGTGAGGAATTACTGTATGTAATAATTTCAGGCGTGATTTTCTTTATATTTATCTTACTTAGGATTCATGAGCTTCTAAAACATGCAAATAAATGTATTTCTTTCACATATGAAAGACTTTTGACATTGTCCCACACACTGTGTATTAATTAAAAAAATATATTTTCTCTGCATTCTTGAGATTAGATAGTACCTATTTAATTTCAAGTCCATTCTCTTTAAATCCAATTCATGTTACAAACTCATCCAGTGAATTTTTCACTTTGGATATTTTATTTTTCAGATCCTCTTGGCTCTTTTTGTTTCTATTTCTGATTAATGTTCTATTTGCTAACTCACTGTGATATATTTTCCTTTATATCCTTGAGCGTAGCTATAATAGCTACTTTTAGAATCCTTGCATTCTGTTAGCTGGATTATCTCAGCATTAGTCTCTACTGATTGCTTGTCCTCTTGAGCTTGAGTCACATTTCCTAGTTTCTCCTATGCACATTAATTTAGGACTGCATCTGAACACTATGAAGGATACATTGTATAAACTCTGGATTCTGTTATATTCCTCCAGAACATTGATTTTGAAAGCAGGCAGCAAACTTGGCTGAATTCAAACTCCATATTCTGTTCCCCTGTGATGTGTGTGGTAGAGGTGAGGTGGGAGTTGGGATGGGGTGCAGGGAGTTTGGAGGTGTGTATGAAACAGCTGAAATTTCTTCTCAGTACTTTGAGCGTGAGCTGGGATGTCTGGAATTGGCTCCGTGGGTACATTGTTTAGTTATCGAGGACAGGTTTAGACAACGTGCATAGACACACAAACACACACAACTGTTGTTTTCCCTTTTCTGGAATTTTTTGCTTTGCTCTCCAGTGCTACGGTTTCCCAGAGCTCTCTCCTCTGGTCTTCAAGCCAGGAAGACTACGGGTTTTTACCTGCATTCCAGCCAGCCAGCTTGCTGCTAAGATCAGCCCTGAAGAAAACAGCCACAAAAACTGGTAAACTCACTCAGTGTTCTTTCCTATTCCAAACGCTCACCTCCCTCCAGTTTCTGCCTGGTTTTGATTGCTCCCTGTTGTCTTCAAGTAGATGATTTTAATATTTTGTCCAGAGTTTACAGATATTATTAGTAGGAGGGTTGGTCTGATGACTCTAGCATTAGTAGAAACAGACACCCCAGGCTTGGTTGCAGCAATAGTGATTTCCATTCACATGGTAACCACACTTGGAAAACATGAGAGACAATCAGAAACAAGATACATGATGAGGAGTCATGTTTGGGCACGTGCGTGTACGCGTGCTGCAGAGGCCAAGACCACTACCAACTCCACTACAGAACCTTTATGTCTGAAAGCTGAAAATATAGAACTCACAAATGTGCACTTTAAGGTGAAGGAAGGTTATGAAATGGAAATGAGATGAGGAAAGTAGTTGATAAAGTTAGTAGACATTGTCCCTTGAGGGTAGAGAGCAAGGTTTAGGTATGAGGGAGTGTGTTGAAACAAAGTTCCTTACATGTTGGTTTGCTTAGGGATACAAGTCAAGATAGAGTTTGTCCAGAGTCAAGCCAAATCGTAATAAAAAGCTTTCTGCTAGAACACATAGCTGCCTTGGGTCCTTGCTTTGCCCCTGGATGCAGAAGTCCAGAGGTGGTCAAACAAAATAGAGAGGGAACAAAATAACCCCTTTTTATTTAGTGGTCCTGAGGTAGGGTCAGTGCATCATTAAACATAAGCTTGAACAATCTGATATTTTACATATTCTGGAAGTGCAATTATTCACAACCCAAGTTCACAGACTCAGAATAAATTGTTCCCCTGTGGTACAGACTGACCTCGATGGAAACTGGATGGACAACAAAGCTAGAAGAGATCGCCTCTCCCAATACCTTCGTTTCTGAGAGAAAACAAACCCAAAAAGATGAAGCAACTCACCAAGGTCTCACAGCTACTTGGTAGGAAAGACAGGAAACAAATCCTGGGCTTATGACCCTGAGTCAACTACACTGAACCTTACGGATTCACTAGGACTTTGTCAAACTGTAGTTCCTGTATTAGGGTTTCTATTGAGTGATAGATGCCTTTCTTTTACATGTAACTACAAAAGAAATCAAGACTCTCATTTTCAAAACGGCAATGCTTGATAACTCGCTGCAAATCACTTAACAGCTTGCCAGCTGGTGTCTGTGAAAAGCTGTGTGACCACGCCACTGGCCCATTAGCTATTTCAGTAAACATATCCTTATTTCTCATATTTTGTAAAAATAGGTTCCAAATTCAAGTTATTGCATATTTTTGTTCATTATTCAGGTCCAGGAACCTATTTATCTAATGTAGACATCATACTCACCTTCTAAATAAAAGACTGTTTTGGTAAATAACATTTCTACTGGCAGCAACCCACCAGCCTCCATATTTGTAAAGAAATCTTTAGTTGTCTATTTTTAAGTTGAAGTGGCTTTTTCAAGATTTTAAAGGAAGTTTTCCTATTTCGTACAGTAAAGATATGCAAATCATTTGAGGATCTAAAAAGCATCCTTCAAATAACGTTAGATTGCTTGCCTTACCTACTGAGCTTAGAAGCTTCCTGAAGGAAAGAGCCATGCCTTTTTCATTATTACATCTTCAGCACTGAGTATAGCGACTGTTACATAATAACCACCTAATAGGCATTTGTTGAGTGACTCATAGATGGACAAATGAAAAGCTCTTTCTTTCAGGTGACTCCATTGTAGCAAAGCTCCTGTAGAACTGAATTTCTCCATTTTCAGGTAGCAGTTTTGGCCCTGGGTATAAAGTCATACAAAGGTTTCCGACACAATTTATCAAGACACCTGCTATTTCCTCCTTTACCTCACCCTCAACTATAAAATCTCCATTTTCTTGGGGAAACATTCACATAAGATGATAATGGCCAGTAGCAGAGTCTATTTGAAAAGTAGACTGTAGAGTACTGAATGAGCTAAGCTTTTGTTCATTTCTTTCTTTACCGTATGTCTGTGCTTTTATAGGCACGAAACATACCAGAGATCTTCAGGTAAAAAGCTCTTCGCAGTATTTCATTTGCCTCGGAAATCACTATGATGTGGACTTTTTGAAAAGAGGGAGAATGTCTTTCTTTACACATCAGGACAATGGCATCTTGGTATTCCAAGGTTCACAATAGTCATCACAATGCCTATTAAACACCAGGTGCTTATTAAATATTAGTCAAAATGAAATGGTAAACAAATATATCAATAAGTATGTTCTACTTTGAGTACATCTGACTTTTTTTTTTTTTTTTTTTTTGTGAGATGGAGTCTTGCTCTATCACCCAGGCTGGAGTGCATTGGCACAATCATGGCTCACTGCAACCTCCGCCTCCCAGGTTCAAGTAATTCTCCTGTCTCAGCCTCCTGACTACCTGGAAACATAGACATGCACCACCACACCCAGCTAATTTTCGTAGTTTTAATAGAGATGGGGTTTCACCATGTTGGCCAGGCTGGTCTTGAATGCCTGACCTCAGGCAATCTGCCTGCCTCGGCCTCCCAAAGTGCTGGGATTACAGGCATCAGCCATCATCCCCAGCCGGTGCTTATTAAACATTAATCAAATGAGACAGTAAACAAATACATCAATAGGTATGTTCTACTTGGAGTAAACCTGACATTTGTTTCTTATACCATAAGCTTACGATCAGTTAGATAAGCCCATCTACTGCAGAAAATTAGGTCCATCAGCAGCAGCTTTAAAATAAAAGACTCTTAAGGCTATTTTGCATGGCGATAAAGTTATAATTTTGGAAACAAACAAAATAGTTTCCCATTTGTTAGAGGACAGGTTTCTCCGATTTTGCATCTTTTCACGAGCATCTCTTGTTTTGTCAAATGAATGTGGGCCACAAAAAAAGCCCACAGCTTTTTAGAGGCAGCATAATGGATACATCTTCCTGGAACCTTATGAAAACACTATGTTGAGCTCCTGCAAAATACTACACTGGTTCTTGAGCTTAAACTAAATAGAGTTCTTCAGTCAACACTCAGGAAGAGAAGGCCTTAGAGCACTGAGAAGAAAAATGAATTAGTTGGCAGTTTCCCATGATATTGTCAGCTTCTTCAATGTAGCCAACATCGGTAACTAAAGAATAGGTTAAGTACTTTTTTTTTCGAGACAGGATCTCACTGTGTCACCCAGGCTGGAATGCAGTGGTGCAATCATGACTCACTGTAATCTCTGCATCACAGGCTCAAGCGATTCTCCCAGCTCAACCTCCTGTGTAGCTGGGACTACAGGTGTACACCACCATGCCTGGCTAATTTTTTTATTTTTTATAGAGATAGGATCTCACTATGTTGCCCAGGTTGATCTTGAATTCCCATGCTCAAGCAATCCTCCCATCTTTGCCTCCCAAAATTGCTAGGATTCTAAGCATAAGCCACCACACTCAGCCCAGGTAAGTACTTTGGATATGGGTAGGGGTGTTTTCCTTTTGCCCTTTTCTTAGTCAACATCTAATAACAGAGAACATTGTTTCCATATAGTAAATGTAGGGCTGTTTCCAATGTAGTAGCTGACTCTGAAATTAAAAATTCGGATAGGTTTCTAACTTCCTGCTTAAGTTTGCCCACAGTGCATAAATGAACACAGTAATACAAAAATGATTCAGTTTTAGCAGCCAATCTCATCTCTTTTGGATCCTAGTCAGTGATGATGGAAGAGTTAACCAAGCTTCTTTATCGAGTGTTCCATTTATTAGTTCATTAATAACAATAACAGGCAAAAACCTAGCCCAACAGAAGGAAGAATGGCCCTACAGGATGTAAATACACTACTGAGAATGTTCATCAACTACATTTCTGGTGGATTTGAGACGGAATAGAAATCTAAATTATTACTCATATTACTCATTACATTTCTATTTTTCCTACTGGGGTTCCCAAACAGAAATGCTGGCTTTGCCAAGGTGTCTTTGAGAATTCTAATATACAGGCTCATTTTCATTTTGCTAAGGGGGAGAACACTCTGAATAGTGCACCAAGCAATATATCTTTCACTTCTTCCACTTCTCCACCTCGTCCCTTATTCTTTGGCCTCTGTCTCAGTCTCCCCCAGGCCCTCACCAGGCTTCAGCATGAATTCAATTTGGTTTTCTGGCTTTCGGAATCTCCTCACTCCAATGATCACATGCTCTACTGCCAAGTATTCATCTCTCTACTCAAAAACACATCAGTGACCACCAAAAACAGTTCAGCTTTGCCTGACATGCAAGGCCATTTACAATTCAGTTCTAATCTGTCTTCTCAGCCTTCTCTTACCTTCATCTTACCTGAGGTCCTCTCTGACCTGAGTGCTAGTTATGACCCCCTTTCCCCATAACTCTGTGCCTGTGGTCATGCTCACCTCTCTGCTCCAGGGAAACTAGCCACTAACTTCTATATGTTTCAATGCTGACTCCAAGTTGAAAGTCATTTTTTTCTGTATTCTCCATTCCCAAAGCATTGTAGTTGGAGGGCTCCGAAGCTCCTTTTTTGCATATTTTCTGTTATGTTTATTTCAGTAAAGATATTATCTTCTCCTCCATCCCTTTCCCAGACTTCAAACCCTTTGAGATTAGAGGATGAGTCACTTTCCCTTATAAGTTTAAACACAGGGCCTCTCACATAACAGGTACTTAGCGTGTTTGAATAAGTGAATGAATGAATGACAAAATGAGTGAATGAAAATTATCTCTTCTATATCACACTATTTTCCCACTTCACTCCTACCCCCATAATATGACAGGAACACGAGCCATTTAAGCAGTTTAATCATCTCATCCAAAATGTGGGATCTGAAGATCAGAGTGAGTCTACATAGAACAGCTGAGGTGTCAAAACACATTAAAAATAATAATGCAAAAATAACCAGGTGTAATCTAAGCTGAGTATTTTCTCTGGCACCTCTTCCACTAACATTTAATTTAGAATTGTGTTCTATAATTATCGTATCTGTTTAAAGGTCCTATTTTCTACAGATTCTTAACTAGGTACAATACATACGGCTTTCAGAGACTGAAAATATTAGCATTAAGAGAGAACAAATGCTTTTATTTTAATTGATTAAATATATTAAAAGTACCTATTAATCGACACTAATTTTTCTCAAGTATTCAGCACTGGGAAATGTTCAAGCATCGGTTTGAGACCCGTAATTCTGACTGTATCACACAGAGTGGAAAATGTGGAGTGTAGTTTTTCCATTGGGTGACAGGAGGGAGACCTACTCTCCAGGACTTCTATTACCAACACCTTGTTTTGGATACTGTGGGTGATACGAAGAAGTTCTAACACATAGCATGTGTGGAGGTGGTGCTCAGAGACCTTCAGGTATCATAGAAAGGAGAGCTTCCTCCAGATGCTGCCTTGCATCACTCACTCTGTGGGAAGCCAGCGACCACAGCACCAGTGCTTCCAAAACCCCAGGGAGAGGCCTACAAGGAGAAAACCAAAGGCCTCTCACCAACAAGCCAGGTGTGTGACTGAGCTGCGTTTTTTCTCTTTTTTTACTTAGCTTTTAAAATTTACACGCGTGCATAGCCATTCAAATTTTGACAAAACCATATAGACAGATTGCCATCACTATGATCAAAGTATAATTTCCATTATGCTTCCAACACCCCATTATCATCAACATCTCCTGCCCTCCCCAGTGTCTGGCAACCACTAATCTGCTACCCAGAATGGAATGAGCCACCTTTAAGAGTAGACCTCCCAGCCTCGTTCAAGCTTTCAGATGACAGCAGCCCTGGTGGATGTCTCTGCTACAATATTATGAAGAACCTCAAGGCAGAATCACTGAGCCAAGCCACTCCCAAATCCCCTCACTGAAACTGTGAGAGACAAGGAGTGTCATTTGTTGTTGTAAGCCACTAAGTTTGGACGGAATTATTGTACAGCCATAGTTGCATTGGTTACCCTATAAAACTGTTTTTTAAATTATTACTACTATTGATATTTACCTAGAGTGCCTTTCCTTTCACTGGTCTTAGCAGATCCACAGCCTGAGTGCCGGGGCACAGGTAACTTGGGTCCCTGAAGGTAAAAGAGTGTCACCGCATTGACATGACTAAGCTGTCCACTGCCTGGGATGTGAACAGAGGCCATGCCAAGGTTAAGTGGAAGAAAATATGAGGCAGTTAGTCCTCTATCACTTGAAAGCTCATAGCAGAAACAATTCAAAACGCAAAGCCCTAGCCAGGCGTGGTGGTGCGCACCTGTCATCCCAGCTACTCAGGAGGCTGAGGCAGGAGAATCACTTGAACCTGAGAGGCAGAGGTCGCAGTGAGCCGAAATCACACCACTGCACTCCAGCCTGGGTGACAGAGCAAGACTCCATCTCAAAAAACAAAACAACATAACACAAAACAAAAAACGTAAAGCACTCTCACTACCAGGTCCTGCTTATCTTGAAGCAAATGTACTCCTTTGTTTCACATGCTACTTTCAAATCATGAAAGTGGCATGTGAAACAAAGGAGCTGCCTGCATCCTCTTGCAATTCATCCCCATCCCCACACACAGAGGCAGCAGCTGCATTACAGCGGGAGCTGCTGTACATTCTAGGGACCTCTCCAGTGGTGTGTCTTCTCTTTCTAGAACTTGGCATCTCTCATCCAGGCCCCCACGAATAGTGACTTCAGTGTCTCGCATGGCGATATTCACTCCAGCTGTGATGGAGTCATGAATGTGGGGGGCAGTCCTTTGTTAAAGGTACACACTGCACGTTGCAAATAATCCATTCCCAGAAAACTGAGCGTTGGCTATGCTTATTCTACACTTCAGTTCAAAGCAAGTTTTCTGCACTAAAAATATTTAAGTATCCCAGACTCAACTGTTTTAAACAAAAGAGTTAATTTCTCAGGATTCTGGGTGGTCAATGATAAATCACCAGAAACAGTGTCACTCTCAGTGAGGCGCCCTGGGTCTAGCCCTGACTTGGAAGGGAATAGTCACTTTACGTCTCTGGGCCTCAGAATCATTCTCTGTAAAAAGAAGGGATATAATTCAATGATATTGACTGTCTTTTCCAGCACAACTCAGCTTATGGTTCTTGGAAACATTATTAAATTTTTAAATGAATTCTTTTGTTCTGTGTCTTCAGATGAGAATTATAATAGAATAGTCTCATTTCCTCTGCAACAATAAAATAACTGCATTTTTCCATCTTAAAGTATTCAAAAGAATAAATGATAATGGTCTGCAAAATGAATATTCTATCTTCACCTAGTCATAATTTTATAATTTACATTGCCACTATTTCTAAGTAAGAAACTGCCTTCTATCTGTGTTTTATGCTGGCAACAAGAATTTAATCTATAAAGAAAACCTCCG